TCTCGGAATCAAATACTACGTAACAGCTCTGATGGTGGGGGGGGGTCGTATCGACTTCTGTTCAGTTCATCCCTCGTTTTCTCCTCATTAACATGAACACGTAGATAAAACAAAAGAGCAATACAAGTGAGTACAAACTATTTGAATGGCCAAATATGTGTTTCTACTGAAACAACCTCGTCCAGGGTAATTTTGAAACCACTACAGCGAAAATAGGTTAAACTTGCCTTTTCCGTTGCCGTAACACGCCTTTTTGGTCGAAATCTACTACCGTAACCCGTTAAGTTCAAACACATAGAGTATTATAGAAGAAATCTTGTCACGTTCGAGTTTTGCACATTTAGCCCTCGAAATCCGCGGATGTGAGCGAGGTGATGGTTTTACGCGGCCAAAAAACTCTAAACGCGCGAAGTCGTCAACGTGCTAAACGGTTCGACAGCGCCCAGAAAGTGGGAGAAAGGGGCTGAGATCAGCGAAGAAAGGGAAGGCTAAATCTAATGCTGAGAAGGGCTTGCACCAAGATTGGCGAAGTTAGAACCAGGAGTTCATGTTGTGTCATTCGATATCGCCAGGAGAACTTTTCGGATGGGCGCGCCATGAGGTGCTATGCCAAACAACTGGTAAAGGAATACCAGGGTAAAGCATGCGGAGTTGGTCAGTCCTCCTCTGACAGTGGGATGCGCCTTGCATCCTATCCTCATTAGGAATATCCAAACTGCGTGAATGCCCTGTCCTCCTGAGCTGTTTCCTGCGCAAATGGCCTCTCAGAGCTGTTATGGCACGCTCCGATTCCTGTCAAGCGGCGACTGACTCACCACCCTCAGCCCCTACACCACCTATAACTTGCTAAGCTTTTAGACATTTACCCGTACTGTTGCTATCGCAAGAGGAGGACGGACATTTGGTGTGAGAGTTCGTGCTGCCTACCATAATCCCAATTTTGCCTAGGAAGAAAGTCATGCGGAGGGTTAACCTTTTCGCTTTCGCTTTCACATCCACCCCGGAGCTCCCTTCCCACCGAAATCGGGATTATGGTCAGCGGCACCAACAGTGGCACCAAATTCTCCCGCCCCTCCTTGCGATGGCGTCCCTTGGAAGAATTGCGCCCCATTCGAACCGCATTTCCTGTTTTGAACTTCGCGCGTCACGCGGTAAACCAGCGCGTTCAAACGACTTACGAATTATTTTCTGCTTTGTTTGTGGATCACAGTATAAGTTACGCGATTGTTTATTTCATTGGTTTTTCATCTGTTTAAACAATACAAAAGAGGAGTGGAGTGTCATGTTTGTTATGTAATGTTCAGAATGAGGTGCGGTCAGTCGGTCGCTGAGTTGTGATGACCTTTAGTTGCTTTATACAGAAACCAGAGTTCTTTTCATGTTCACTATTTACTTTTTGGATTTTGCGTATCCACCCTCGACTTATAGTCGCAATCTATAATCCAATCCATAACTGTTCACAACGTGCCACAATACTTGTAACACAAACATTGGAACATTCAAGAGCAATAACAAACAAAAAACAAATAAACAAATTTTTGAATAAATATGTAAACTAGTAAAATGTGAAGCAAGTGTGAGGGTGAAATAAAAAACCAGGGCGCTATGTGCCTCGGGGGGGGGGGCAGTCACCGCGCGCGGCTGTGCGGCAACAGGAAATTCGAACATTCCAGCTTCTCACGCATGTCATGTGACTGCCCTCACCCCCAACCCCCCTGAATTGGCTACACTCCCCCTGGCTCACGAATTTCCTGTTGCCGCAAGAGCGCGCGCGCGACTGGCCCCCCCCCCCCCGAGGTTTACGGACTACTTGATTTTTCCTCAATGGTCCTGCCGCGATGGCTAGAGCACAGACGATTAGAGAATGCCCTAGGACTAAGCCTTGGAGAGGAGAGGGACCCGCTAGAGAGCGCAGAGGCGGTAAAGGGCTGAGTTCAAGTAGTCCGTCAACCGGGCACATTGCGGCCAAGAAAACATTTGTTTTTATTTGTCCTCCCTCCTATTCCACCGCCTCAGTTTATCCGCTGCCACATATAACTTATATCGTTTGTTTTGCAATGAAACGCTTGCTCGTACCCCCAGAAAGCGGTAAATCTACCTACCAATTCGTGTCCATCGCTCGCGTTCTAGGACGTCGAACGGGATTTTTTCCATAATACTGAATTAAAGTAAATAGATGTTATCCACAGCAATAAAAATTTTCTCCTCAGCGTGGCTTAATTGGTATCATACTTGTCTGGGGAATAAAACGTATGTTTTCGAAATGGTCTCGTAATCAACTTGCAGATGTTGGCCATATCCAAATACGACTACCATTATTAGTGATGTAGAAGGCGATGCGCATCCCAGAATTCCGTAAGGCGCAAAAGCTTTGCCCTGCTAAAGTTAGGTGGTGTGGTAGGTGAGGGTTGAAAGAGTGAGCATGACGTTTATTGAGAAGCTGCCGCTACACGACCTTGCGCAGCATTCGCTCTTTTACTGTTCAAAAAAGCAGTGTAAAACTGCTCGTGTATCCTTTTCTTGCAGAAAGCTTCTCGTTGACGGATTCTTTACCGTCTTATGACAAGGCCAACAGCTTTTTTTAAGAAATGGCGTCTCCTGTAAAAGTAACTCCCGCGCAGTATCGCAAATATGGTGTGAATGGTACACTTCGGCTTTCTACTGGTTTCTTCCAGGTATTTTAATATTATAAGGTTCAGAACAATAAGTTATTATTATATCGTTTGCGCATGTACTTTCAGCGTTATTTCGAAAGTGACGGTACGACGACAGAAGTGCCGATCCTCCAAGTTTCGGTTAGTTTTCTCATTCGCTCCTAATGGTTATGACAGAGTTGTTCATTAAAATTTTACAGCTAGCCAGGAAGCTGGTAGAAGGGATGGCAGGATGGCCTGATTCTTGTCTAAGGTTACGCTTGACTGATGGTGCATTTCATTATTCTGGTACGTAGCAGTCGCTTTTTTCTATTCCATTTACTAGTAAGGCTGGTGTCAGAGTCCGCGATCCGTCGCAGGTTTCGCTGATTTTGCGCGATTTTAGCGATTTGCGCGAAACCTGCGACGGATCGCAAACACTGCAGGTGCCCCATTTGAACATTTGAAACACTGAATACGAAACAAGTGGAATCATGAGAAGTCGTCATACAATTCGTGCGATTCACGCGACGGTCACGATTCAAACAACTGTGTCCCCGTCAGACCCAAGTGTTCTCGCCACCAACCTGTCTGCTTGATAGTGATGCGTGAGAGGCCGGAAGCATAGTCGGTCGGACAGCAACGATCGCAAGTGTCGCACAGCATTGGGTGCGTATCGATCTGCGACACATGCGACACTTACGACCGCTGCTGTCGGACGACAGCAACGACCGTAAGTGTCGCAGATCAATACGCAGCTACTATTCCACACTACAGTGGGACTTTCGAAATACGATCACGCGCAGTCACGTGTTGTCTGGGTTAGCATTGGGTGACCGCGTCGCCTTCCATTTGCGACCGCGGTTTATGCGACACTTGCGGTCGTTGCTGTCGTCCGACCGACTATGCGTCCGGCCTGCATGACAGACTGCTCATTATTTCACCATTTGTTTGTATCATGCTTCAAATGTTCAAATGGGGCACTTGCAATGTTAGGCTGGTGTCAGAGTCCGCGATCCGCTCTTCGCGATTTTCGCCGATTTGCGCGATTCACGCGACGGGTCACGGAAATCACAAGTGCCCGATCAGTACTGCAAAGTGTTCTCCAATCCTGCGCCACTTCTGCTTGATAGTGATGGCTGAATGACGACTGCTCATGATTCCACTTGTTTCATGTTCAGTGTTTCCAAATGTTCATATGGGACGCTTGCAATTTTTGCGATCCGTCGTAGTTGCGATCTGTTGTAGGTCTCGCGCAAATCGCCTGAATCGCTTGAATCACGACGGATCGCGGACTCTGACATTAGCTGTGAGGCCAGTTCTGTTGCCGCGTGCGCTCATCGGCAGTGATTTGCTCCCATCTTGGGTAGATCATCTAGTTCGCGACAGAGCATTTCTGTGAAAGCGTTTCTGATCGTTCGTGCATCTTAAATATCACATTAAGCGGAACTCTATAATTTTATGTCAGGGGTCGTAGTTTCATGTTTCACACTCAATTACCCTACCAACTTTTTGATCCAACTTGTTCAACTTCGTTCATATATTTTGTATTGCAAATCAAGAGATCTCGATTCAACCAAACAGAACCGCTATTGGTAAAAAACTGGTAACCGCAACAGCAGGCATATCAAACTATGACAACAATTACAACAATTTGACGTTCGTTGTGAACAGTCGAGAACGATCAGTTGAACGAAAGGTTAATGGAATGTTTCGAAATGTCTTTGGGCTTTGAGGAAGAAAGGGCTCAGAATCATGGTTTCGATGTAGAGATGCAGTTTCTAATGGTTTCTCAAGGCATTTTCATTTTATTTCAGGACTTTTCGTGGTTAGCAGCCTGGAGAGCCAGTGTGACCGGGGACAATTTGGTAGGTAACGCTGAGAATGGTGGTGAAATAAATCGCGGTCACTAAAATGTACATCAATCCTACAGGGAGCGTGGGGAAAAGAGATAATGCGCAAGGGTAACGTTATTCTTATTTCTCAGTTTGTGAAGTTCTACTATGCATAGAAAATCACATTTAGTCTATATCAGCATATTTATTTCCAGTAAACCCATGTTAATGATTGCTGGGTATACGAATTACTTTCAAGAGGGCATCCGATACTATCCGGGTGTAAGCCATGATGGAGACAAGGTCAGTGTCAGTTTGGTAGTGCATTTGGTTCATTCTGATAATCACTAGAAAATCAAATAGTGCTAGGTTAAGTCACGAAAATGTAAAAGGTGAACGCTGCGAAGTTCACCAGGCCGGCAGTTTGAGCCGCTGTCGCCTGTTATATCAGGCTATAATATTAGGCTGAGCAATCGATTATCCGCCGTCTGTTTCAGAACATGGTTCTTTTGATTTTTCGTCTTATATAGTTTGAAGACTATGAATGTAGTCTGAATCGCGCAATCTCTGTACATTTTGAACTATCAACGTGCGGTGGTTTAATTCACTGTGCACTTCCACTCTAAGGCAAAAATGTGCCCCTGTACCTGATGTTGCAGTTTTGAGAAAACGAATGCTTTTGCATCTGCTCATAGAAAGAAGAAGCCTGGAATGAAGACACAGTTGCAGAGAGGACTGTTCGGGAGCGTTTGTTGATAACGCACGTATTTTTTATTTTGTTAATAACCTTGTCAGTGAAATGGGAACGGCCGATAATATTGCTCAACCTAATATCAGAACAACGAGAATGATTCTCCAACAGCGCTCATTTTCAACCCTTTCTGTCTTGAAATGTGGTCGTAATTTTTGATTGAGAATGAGCTGAATTTATTAAGGACAAGTTCTCCAGTTTCAAGCCCACAGAAATATACTCAGTTCCATGGAATAATCCAAATTGGGTGATGCTGCAGGGACTGCACGTAAGTGAGATTTGCACAGTTGCATTTGGTATGCACTTTTCGTATTATGTAAACTTTAAATGATCTGATGTTCGCGGCACATTCTTTATTACATCCTTTTAGAAAGTTGTACTCAAAGCGATGAGGCATGTAGAACATTTTTTGGGTGTTATATAGTAACCCGCTGGTATCACATATGTGGCGCGCGATAGTAGCACTAGGGCTTTACAAAGTTGCGCTACACGCAGCGTGGATAAGAGACGTAGTGCTATTTAAATTGATGCCACGTGTATTGGGGCTTGGGAACGAACAGAGTTTAGCCCAAATCGCCCGACATCCCTCCCTCCAAAGGAAGAGATAAGAAGTTTTTTTTTCAAATGCTTCAATCTTCGGTGCATGCCTAACCTTCGTCATGCCGCAATTTATGTCGACTGCGCTGTGCCATAAACAACCCAAAAAAAAAAAAACAGCCAACTTTGAGGGCTTAATTTGAAAATAGAATAGAATATAGTGCTAAAGTCCGTGATCGACCTATTTTCAGTCTTGGCTAGTTTGTTTAGTTGATTAGATAGTTGTAACCGTCCAAGATTAGATAACTTCACTAGGCTATCCTTTCGGCTTCTACGCCCTTGTTGGAGCCTTGATCAGTCGCCGAGACGCAAGGGCGATCATCCTCAAAAGACCTGGCTCGTGTGAATCCGAAACGTTAGCCAAATATACATAGTTATCTATGATTGGACGACTATGACTAAATATTTATCAGAATAATGCAAACAGCGGATTCCATTATTGGGTCTTTTCAGAGGTCGCACGTCCATCAGCACCGCGCCGACAACCGCAGAGTTTTGGATCCGGCAACGTAACACCTATAGCCATGATCACCCCATATATAAGCAAATGGCGAATCTGCGGTCTGTGTACTGCTAAAGATGAACTAAAAACAACGAAAGCTCGAAGTGGTGCTGGCGATATGAAGGTATTTGTGTGGTATTCGTGAATTTATTCCAAGAATTCATTTCACTAATGCGTCAACGTTTTCAAATTGGGCAGGCGGGCACTCGACCCCGTAACTTGGACAGCTCCGTCAAGAAAGTAGGTGCTTTCATCAAGTTCAAATCCCATTTATTATAGGTGTTCCTTCGAAATAAACAGACAAAGACTGTGCTATCATCGTATAACCGGCTTCAACGATGCGGCAGAGAGGGCCTATAGTATCATCCAAACCGACTGCGTACGTCTGCTGCATTTTTGATCTTTCAAGGCAGCAGAATGCCCTATCTAATATTTTATTTAGTCGTATTATATATCTGGAGGTACAGTGAAACAAGCAAATAAGCGCTTCAATACAACTGGCCATGATTATGAACTTTCCATGAATGCCACTACTGAGGTGAGGGCGTACTATATTTTTTCTTGGTACTTAAATTATTTCATTTATAACTACTTGCACTAAAGCTTCCAGTCAATTCTTGATGTTATAAGGTTTGCTTAGCCATCTTTTCCATCATAATGATACAGATTGCGCCGTGTCATGACCAAATTCCAAAGCCGGCGTTGGTGCTGAAGATTTGCCCTCTTCAAAATATACCAAGTCATAAGGACGAATTTGTCGATGTGTTAGCTGTGGTCGACAAGATGGATCCTGTTAATAAGGTAGCTGCTCTTTAATGAAAGTGACTATGCTGCCTATCGAATTTTGTTTTCAGCTATTTCGACGGAGACAAGGAAGGGAGTGCGTAAAGCGTGATATTCAACTAATCGATCAAACTGGGACCGTTGTACAGTTCACGCTTTGGGGAGAACACGCTGAGAACTTTGAAGATCATGCACTAGGACCCGTCATATTCAATAAAAGGAGCGCTAGTGAAAGAATGGAACGGTATGTTCAATGTACCTGTTTACAGTGTTTTCTTGATTTGCTTTGTTTGCTATTGCCCCACTCTTGTTCAGGAGCGTTCAGCATTGGAATTTCATCCGGATCAAAAATCGAGTTGAGCCCTCAGCTTGATGAGGTCCCGAAGCTTTATGAATGGTATACAACTGAACGCGCGTCAGTCGATACAAAAACTATAAGCATGACAGCCTC